CGGCACCGTTAATACCTAAAGACATCTATGTCTTTAAAGCTATGGGTTGAATGGCGCGGAAAGAAAGTTTAAATATGTAAGTCGGAAATTGATGTGTTAGAAATTTGTCGACACGTGTTACGATTAGGTTAGGTTATATAACGTAATCGCGCGAATCGTGCAGACTTTTCACACTTCCGAATACAAAACGCTTATTTTTCAATTACTAATTAGATTGGCAAAGATGCAAATGATCGATTATAATCGTAAATTTATGTACATTGAAATTGTTATATTTCTTTGTGTAAGAAAATAATATAAATGTTAATAATAAAATAGATATATGTAAAATATGATTACTAATTCAGATATGATAACATATAATTCACTAATCAAATGAGAGGTTTAGAAGCAAGAGGTTTGGATACTGATAATTAGCTAATCTTTGTTTTTATTTTTTCAGGTAAAAAAATGCCTAATTCAATATGCAATTTGTCACAAATATCTTTGGACAAGAAATATATGGAGTACATTTAAAATTAGGATAATTGAATATTCTTCCTTCCGGATGTCTTTGGTGTTTCTAAAAATTATACTAATATGAATAACATTACATCAGAAAAGCTTTCGTTATATTCGGTTCTCAGAATCAAAAAAGATGATCTTAAGGAATTTATTTGTGGTTGGGGTGCCGCTGTTATTAATGTCACTGTCACTTTCCCTATTAATAAAGTCATATTTAGACAGGTATGTAATGCAAATAACATTAATAAACATTTCTCTATACATTTCTCTATACATTTCTCTATATTATGACAACACTTACTTTTAAGATTTAAGTAAAAACACATTTGATCATCAGTATAAAAATTATTTTTGTTATGATACAGATTTTGGAGGGAGTTCCAGTGAGTACTGCAGTCGGGCAGATATCACGAGAGGGAATACAATTGCTGTATCGTGGAATTTTACCTCCTCTGTGTCAAAAGACTTTGTCCCTCAGTCTAATGTTTAGCACGTATGAAGGATGCAAACAGAGATTCGGTTTGCTTACCGTAAACAATGTGCTGGCTAAGGTACTGGCGGCGAATATAGCCGGCACGGTGGAGGCTGTGCTCATGCCATTTGAAAGAGTACAAACGTTGCTGCAAGATTGGCGATATCACGACAAATTCAAGAACACGCCCCATGCGTTTAGGTATCTTTTAACGAATTATGGCGTGTCTGAGTGTTATCGCGGCATGGTTCCTATCATATATAGAAACAGCTTGTCCAATTTGATGTTCTTCACTTTGCGAGATCAATCGAAAATCTTGATAGGCGAGCAGGATTCATTATTGACGAACTTTATCAGCGGTGCACTCATCGGTGGCTTTACCAGCACAGTGTTTTATCCGATGAATGTAATCAAGATACACATGCAGACAAAAATTGGTGGCGACTTCGAGAAATTTCAGGTTGTGATTCGCGAGATATATGTCTCCAGAGATCGAAGTTTAGCTTCATTTTACAAAGGCGTTCACTTGAATTACATGAGGTCTTTCATTAGCTGGGGTGTGATAAACGCGTCGTACGATTTCTTGAAGAACATCTTCTTCTAAATTATTTAATGAAGAAGAGAAGTATTTTTATTTATATTTATTTAGGAAATTTATTTTACGCCCCGCTGTATATATCAGATATTTTAAATAATAGTAGGAAATTGTATCTTTTGTAGAAAGATGTGAATGTCACAGTCGCACATTCTTCTTAATATATATATGCGGGATTAAGATAAATATGCGATTGCACATAGGAGAAAAGTCTATTATATATATATGTAAAAACTTTACCTAGTTTAATATCTATTTAGCTTTAATAAGTATTTGGAGATAATGTCAGACTGACTTGTTTTCTTTTTAATGTGTGAATAAGAAGAATCCAAGATGGATTTTAAAAAACACATTGTTCTTTTTGTCTATAAAAAGATTGTATGGTTTGTATGTACAAATCACATATAGATAGGTCACAGACTTCTTTACGTGGACTACCCTGTATATATATATATATATA